AAAAAAAAAAAAAAAAAAAAAAAAGTCATAATGAGAACACTCTGGAGCTCAGAGTCAGATAACCAAAGTTCAGATCTGTGCCCACCACTCTCAGCTACCAGTCCTTGTTCTGGGTATTTTCAGGTCCTGTCTCGACTCTGCAATTCCAGGCTTGGTTTTCATTTCTGTTTCTTGGCTTTTTGGTTTTGTTTTGAGGCAGGGCCTTCTCTGTAGCCCTGGCTGGCCTAGAACTAACTCTGCCTCCCTAATGCTGGGATTAAAGGTATGTGCCACCACATCTGGCTTCAGGCTTCACCTCCAGTTTTTTGTTTTGTTTTGCTCGCGTTTTTGGTTTTGGTTTTTTGTTTGTTTGTTTTTTGAGACAGGGTTTCTCTGTGTAGTCCTGGCTGTCCTGGAACTTGCTTTGTAGACCAGGCTGGCCTCGAACTCACTGAGATCTACCTGTCTCTGCCTCACAAGTGCTATACCACCACCCAGCTCAACTCCAGTTCTTATGAGAAAAGGCTCTACAATAAAAGCCAGTGTTCCTGAAGTCAGAACTACAACTGACTTGAAACTTTTACTGAAGGAAAAACCAATTAGGACCACTTACAGAGAAAAACGAAATCAGTTTTTGTACGCCACAGATTTAGGAAGATAGCTAATCTGTTCATTGTTTAGAGACAACTCTACCTGAATTCAGAATGACTGCTTTTATTTAACTACAACAAACTGCAGATAGGACAAATACCTAATATCTCAGACATCATCTTGACAACTGTGTGCTCTAAAAAGCCATTCACATCTACTCAATATAAAAGGATGATCAACCATCAATGGCCTCTTTTTAAACTATATTCAGACTCACAATATGATCGGAAAGATAATAAGCTAATAACACTCAAACTCTAGTTCTTACACTAAGTAATCTGGCCTCCCTGCAAGCATGCATGAACCAGATCTCACCAGGTTCCTGACTCAGAGAATCAAGATGTGAGATTCACTGGTTCTACTTGCAAGGGAGGCTCACAACAGAAAGATATGACCAAAGATAAATTGTAACCTATCAGCAAATGCTACAATATACTTCTATAAGCCCCTCAAATTACCTGTAACAGAGTCCAACACTTACTTTCTAGGCCAAGAATTTAAGAGTAAAGAAAGTCTAACGAATGAGCTGAAGGGAAGAAAACAATGGGTGGGGAAGGTAAGAAGGAGACCTGAGGAACACTGGTCCCAGCACACATTATGAATTTGACAATCAGCTGGTCTCAGAGCAGACTGCAGTCACGGCATTCCCTACCTGCCTCCCTGCATACCGAAGTGCAAGCTTTCCGCTCACCAAAGCCTGGACATCTTCAGGGCTACAAAAAAAAAAAAAAAAAAAAAAAAGACATACTTGGTCAACTGCTCCATGACATTGCAATTCTAATCATAGATAGGTGAACTATTTACCAAAATTCCATTGTGAAGATTCATCCACACTGAAAAATCAACTAAACTCCTATGTACCAACACTGCAGCAGTCAGGTTTCTTCACTCTTGGCCAAAGCTAGCAGTGAAAAGTAAAAACCTCCCAACATTAAAGAGAGGGACAGCTGAGTGTGGTAGCACATACCTTATGGAGGCACAAGCAGACAGATCTCTATGAGTTCAAAGTCAGCCTGGTCAATGTAGTAAGATCTTGGAAGGGAGGGAAAGAGGGAAAGAGAGAGGGACGGAAGAAGGAAGAAAGACAGAGCAAGAGAGAGAGTGAGAAAGAAAAAGAGAGAATGACAGACAGATAGACAGAAAGCCCAACTGGACCCCATCCCTACATCAGCAGGCAGAATAGTAAGTTTGAGTCAAATCTCAGCATAGTGGGTCTTGCTAAAACAACATGGCCCTGGGGCGGGGGATGCAGCTCAGGTGGTAGAATGTTTGCCTGGCATACATTAAGCCCTGGATTATTTCCCAGTTCTGGTAGTTCATGTCTGCAATTCCAACATTCTGGACAGCAGAAGTGTGCCACCAACATCATTCTTATCTATATAAAAAGTTGAGCAGGGCCAGAGAAATGGTTTGGTTGTTAAGAGCACTTGTTACTCTTGTAAGGACCTGGGTTCAATTCCCAACATCTACATGGATGCTCACAGATATTTGTAACTCCAATTCCAGGAGTTCTGATGCCTTCTTTTCGCCTTCTGGACACCAGACATGCAAGTGGTACACACACATATAATCAGGAGAAACACATGTACACATAAAATAAAAACAAATTTCAAAAATATATTTTCAAAAAGGTTAGGGCCAGTGGGAGGTGGTAGCATAAGCCCTTAATCCCTGCACTTGGGAGGCAGAGGCAGGCAGATTTCTGAGTTCCAAGCCAGTGGAAGGAAAGAAAAAAAAAAAAGATAATGCCAGCCTGGACAACATGAGATCCTGCGTCTCCTGGTGTATCCCCTCAAATAATAATAATAATAACAACAACAGCAATAATAAAAAATATACAATTAGATGATTTTAAAATCACGACCCTAGGTTAGGGACATAGCATTTATCTAGCATGCATGAGGCACTGGGTTCAGTCCCTACCACCACTTAATTATCATGCTTTTTATAGCCCAGTTATTCATATATTTCCTGGGCTCCATGCTCCCCATTCAGGTTGGCCAGTTGACTAACACTGGCCTATCAGCTATTTCCTGAGCTCTGGCCTGTGCTCCATACCTATGAGGACAAAATATTTGAAAAATGAGAAATTCTCCAAGAAAAATTTCCACTTAAGTAATTTCTAAAATGTCTCCCCAAATCTGAAAGACTAGGCAAGCAAAAGAGATGTGGTTCACCTCTGACCAGCCACTCTACGTCAACCAGCCCCACAGCCTGCAGCTAACTTTGCATTTATGAGTGGCCAAACTCCCTCCCAAGACACCTCTGCTATAGCACAAACTTGGTTGAAGACTAGAGATCTTATATCCTACAGTTAATGTACACTTACGTGTTGAGCATGATTTTGCACAATAACATGTACTTCAGAGATGTGATGGCCTTGGGGCTATCAATGGAGTCATAGCCTTCAAATGCCTCATAGAAGTATGAGTAAGCAGTTTTCCAGTCCTTCTCCTCTGCTGCATGAATAATACCTGGAAAGTGAAAAGAAAGAAGAAAAAAACAAAATAGTAGAACTAGAAGAGACCTGTAAATCCCTTAGAAACTGACTCTAACAGGAGCAAGTTACTAATGACCTCAAGTGAAGACAAAGGAACTGCCCCAGGTCATAGCCAACAGAGCTGACATTAGAGCCCCAGGTCTCTGGCCTCTGATCAGCACCCACCTTTTTAAATCACCAAAGGAGTAAGAGACCCAATTAAAAAGGAACCCTAAAAACCTCACACTGTATTATTATCTTTCCCATGCTACTTACCACCTATTCCTACCAGCACTGAAACAAAGCCTCCATCATATCAGGCCAGTGAACTGACCCACACATGCCCAGACCACATGAATGACCTCAATTAATAGCATCAACTCTGGGCTGGGATGTAAAATGCTTGACTAGTACATACAAAGTCCTGCATTCAAGCCCCAGCACTGAATAAACTGGACGTGGTGTCAAACATCTGTAATCCTAGCACTTGGAGATAGAAACAGGAAGACCACAGTTCAAGATCATCCTCAGCTACAAACCAATTTTAAGGTCATCCTGGGATTTATGAGATTATATCTCAAAAGCAAAGCAACAAAATTAAAATAAAAAAAAAAAGAATCATGCCAGGTGGTGGTGGTGGTGACACAAGCCTTTACTCCCAGCACTCAAGAGGCAGAGGCAGGTGGATTTCGGAGTCCAAAAGTGAGCTGGTCTACTACTGAGTAAGTTTCAGGACAGCCAGGGCTACATAGAGCTCAAAAAAACAAAAAACAAAACAAAACAAAAAAGAACTATTAGCTTTTTCTATGCTGAGTTTGGTGGTGTTGTTAGATTTTTTGATGAGACATTGTCTTACTATGTAGCTCTGGCAGTCCTGGATCACCATGTAGATCAGGTTGGCTTCCTCTACCTCCAATTGCTGAGACTAAAGGTATGTCCTACGCCTAGCTAAATTTAGAATTTTCACACTGAAGCAGCTTTCCTGATTGGTAATATTCCCCAATATGTTATTACTTTCATTTCAAATATACCTCATTTTGGATGTGATTTTGCCTATAGGAAAACTCCCTCAAGACTGGAGAGACAGCTCAGCAGTTAAAAGTGCTGACTGCTCTTCCAGAGGAAGAGTCCAATTCCCTGAATCCATATGGTAGCTCACAACCATCTGTAACTCCAGTTCCAGAGGATTCAACACCCTCTTCCGGCCTCAGTGGCCACCAGATGTGCATGTGGTACAAAGACTATGCATGAAGACAAGACTCCCACACACAAAACAGAACTAAATAAATCATTTTGTTTGTTTGTTTTTGTTTTTTTGAGACACGGTTTCTCTTTTTAACAGCCATTCCTGTCCATGAACTCACTTTAGACTAGGCTGGCCTTGAAACACACAGAAAACTGCCTACCTCAGCCTCTCCAGTGCTGTTATTAAAGGTGTGTGCCACCACTGCCCAGCTCTAAATAATCTTGGAAGACACAACAAACTGCTAAAGTTGCCAAGCTTAATGAATATCAGAATTTCCCCCATATCCTCCCAGGATATCAACAGGGCAGAGTAAGTCAGTCCAATAAGTCTGGCTGGAGGAAAAAAAGTGAGCCAAGCACTATAGGGTTATGTGCTCATAACCACAGCACTCATCAGCACTCAGGAGGCTGAGGAAGGAGAATTCTAAATTCAAAGCCAGCAGAGACTATAATGTAGGACGTTATCTTTAAAAAGAAAGGAAAGAAGGAAGGGTGGGAGGAGAGAGAGGGAGGGAAAGACCGAACAAGGCCCCAAAGACAAATATACTGTTTTCTTGAAAACATTAACAAGAAAAGTCACATCAGCAGTATTACAATTTATGTTTACTTTTTAAAGACTTTTTCATTTTTCATTGTTTTTATTAAGCTATACATTTTCTCCTCACTTCCTCCCCTCCCCCATGACCTCCACGCTTCCAATTTACTCAGAAGATCTTGCCTTTTTCTCCTTCTTACGTAGAACCAACCATGTATGTCTCTCTTAAATTAGGATCCTTTTTGTTTTTCAATTATTTTTTTATCTGAGTGTTTGTACAGATGCCCAGAAAGACCAAAAGATGGCACCAAATTCCCTAGAGCTAGAATTAGGGGCTGCCCAATGCATTTCTAACTGCTTAGCCATCTCTCCAGCCTGAATATGTTTACTTTTAAAAGCAAAATCCCATAGTCATTCAACACAAACATTAAAGGGAGTCTTCCACGTGCCAAGCAGAAAATATACAAACAAGGCTCCCAACGAACTTGATACGATAGTGTGTATAAAAGAATAAATTTTGGGGAACTGTAAAAAACATCTGTTCTGGCAGAAAATTCAGTGCCCAACACCCAAATGGTGGCTCACAGCCATCTGTAACTCCAGTTCCAGGAAATCCAATGCCATCTTCTGGCCTCCTTGGGCACCTGGCAGACATGAAGTACACATACATGCAGGCAAAACACCATTCATATAAAATAAAAATCAATCTTAAATTTTTAAAAAATATATTTTAGTAAGTTAGCTCAAAAGCAAAAAAAAGGAAGCCAACAAAGGCGAATCTGTGAGTTGATGGCCAGCCTGGTTCTAGAGCTACATGAGATTCTGTGTAAAAACTAAGAAAGAATGACAAAGAAAGTATGCAGAAGAGACACACAAGTGTAAAGGCAGGGCATCTGAAATCAAGATTATCTTCCAACAGTCCTGACATGAAGCCCATTCAAAAAAATTCTACAAGTTTCCAAAAGTCGGGCTGGAGAGATGGCTCAGAGGTTAAGAGCATTGGCTGCTCTTCCAGAGGTCCTGAGTTCAATTCCCAGCAACCACATGGTGGCTCACAACCATCTGTAATGAGATCTGGCGCCCTCCTCTGGCGTGCAGGCATACATGGAGGCAGAATGTTGTAAACATAATAAATAAATCTTAAAAAAAAAAAAAAAAGTTTCCAAAAGTCTCTAAGAGACTAATAGATTTGGTTAACACACATACGGTAGGCCAGTCTGGAAAAGAAGTTAGTAAGTGACTAACAGATGAATTAAGTGAGAACCCTAACATATGGCTGACAGTCAGGTTGCCTAGACAAGCACTGATAACTATGGGGTTTTTTTTGTTTGATTGGTTGGTTTTTCGAGACAGGGTTTCTCTGTAGCTTTGGAGCCTGTCCTGGAACTCATTCTATAGACCAGGCTGGCTTCGAACTCAGATTCACCTATCTCTGCCTTCCAAGTACTAGGATTAAAGGCGTGTGCCACCACTGCCCAACTGATAAGTATGTTCTTAATTGTTTTAGGCAGTTAATAGGAAGAAGCTGGCTTGAAAGGCAGTGTTCTCGTTTGTTTCTTAAATCAGTCATTATTTTCCAGCTTCAGTCCCACCCCCATTCCTTTCACCCATAAGATAAGGACATGCATCTTATGCACTGCTGAGCCACTTACCTGATTGCATGTCCAAAGTGGCCTGCAATTTAGGGGGGCAGTAGATGGCATTGGCTGTGGTTCGAGCGGAGGTTAAGGCAGCTCGGGCTTTCGGCAGATTACTCAAAGCATGGTATGTTTTGCTTTCTAAAAGCTGTACTTCCACCAAAAGGGCTTTATCATCCATCTTTTTCAATTCCCGCAGCAGCTGAGAACCTAGAAGAGGAGAAAATATGCATATATCTGTTTGTTAGTCTCATTACCACCATCATCCTTTTTTCCTAGCACCCGGGAGGCAGAGGCAGGTGGATCTCTGTGAGTTAGAGGCCAGCCTGATCTATAAAGTGAGTTCCAGGACAGCCAGGACACAGAAAAACCCTGTCTTGAGAAACAAAAACAAACAAGCAAATATAGAGACTTACAATACAGCTCTGAATAGCCTGGAATTCACCATGAAAACCAAGCTGGTCTAAAGTAGTCTAAACTGCCACACCAGCCTCTTTTTTCCCCTAAACAAAGATTTGTTTGAGGCTGGAGATGCAAGGTCTCTTCCTGAACCTGGAGCTCCCATTTTCTCACCTAAACTAGAAGTAGTTAACAAGCCCCATGATCCTTCTGTAACTACATGCCTTGGAGCTGGCATTTTGTCTAGATTCCCTTGTTAGTCTTAATCTTAACATAATACCATAAAATCTTACTCTCTACTCATAATGGTAATAATAAAGAAACCCTCCAAAACTCATACAAGTTACCTTCACAGCCCATGAAAGAATTAAATTTTCCTCTAATGTATTTTCAAAAGAAAACTACATTATCTCTGAAGCTTTTATTCTAAACACAACACTGGAGCTAAGAGTTCTATACACTAAGATTTACAGTGACAGTCTCCCCTATCAAGCAATCAAAGGGCTGTAACTTTGAAAAACATAGGAAGCAGGCATGGTAAAGGCACGGCTGCAATCTCAGAACTTGGAGAGTTGTGACAGAATGTTAATAAGTGATTGGGCTACATGGTGAGAAACTGCCTTAACCAGCTAAAATAAAAAGAAATCAGGGTACAAGATCTCATGGGGAAGAGAGAACTTTTATGTCAATATTCTTCAAATACACCGTATTTCTCCATCTCAGAAGAGAATAACAGATCATTTATACCATATATAAAAATTAACTTAAGATGGATAAAAGGCATAAATAGAAGAACTAAAACTTTGGTGCATGCCTGTCACTGTTAACACTTAGAAGACTAAAACGGGAGTATGAGCAAAAAGCCAGACTAGGCTATATAATTAATTCCAGACCAACATGGGCTACCGAGAGACAGAGACAGACAGACAGAAAGACAGACAGACAAGAGAGAGAGAGATAAAAGAAAAGAAAAGGAAAGGAAAGGAAAGGAAAGGAAAGGAAAGGAAAGGAAAGGAAAGAAAAGAAAAGAAAAGAAAAGAAAAGAAGGAAGGACAGAGAGAGAGAGAGAGA